TGAGCCACAATGGTCAGGGTATATTTTGTGTTTAATTTCAGAAACTAACTCCTTGTTACAATTTGGCTGTATTTTCCCGGTAAAAAATAGCTCTAGCAAAAAAAGTGTACATACGGGGATAGGGAAAAGTAGGTTTGCAGTTGTTCATATGGTAAATAATACAATAATTAATAAATAATACAAGAATAAAGACCTGTCTGGTGTGGCTCAGTGCATTGAGTGCTGGCCTGCAAACCAAAGGGTCACTGGTTCGATTTCCAGTCAGGGCTCATGCCTGGGTTGTGGCCAGGTTCTCAGTAGGGAGCATGCGAGAAGCAACCACACATTGATGTTTCTCTCAGTCTCTTTCTCCTTCCCTTCTCCTCTCTAAAAATAAATAAAAGTAAAATCTTAAAAAAACTACCTTAAAGCAAAACATTCCAAACCTTTTTTTAAAAAAGAATAAACTGTATATTTCATGTACTAACAACTGTAAGCCTACTTTTGCCCATCCCTGCTATTTTGTCATAGACATATCTAGTATAATACGCAATTGTGACTGAAAAGTACATTTGATAATCAGCTTGGGTTCCTTTGACCTAATTACCTTATACTTTCCTTTCCAAATGCCACTATGCACCTCTTGAGTTCTATCAGGAATCAGTTTTTGGTAGGTAGCATACTTTAACTGGAAACAAAATGCTCAAGAGACCAATGTGAAATCATTGAAGTCTAGTAGAAAAGGAAGAGCGAACATAATTTCTAACTTTTGTCTTCTTTCTTTCACTTTTCTGCCAACTTGACAGCTGTGCACCTAAAAAAATATTTGGGAGTCCCTTCATTTCAGGAGGTCATCGTTTTAATGGCTGTGTCAGTGCATACAGACAAATATGGGCTTTCCATGCGGTAACCCAGAACTTGCATGTAACCTTGATGAACGCTGTATCTAGTTTCATCTGAAGTGATTATCGTGTTCTGAATAACAGACAAGTCTGAGAATAGATAAATTGACTACAGATTTATATGGCTTGGGAGATTCAATGAAGTAGATAGATACATTCAAATAAATCACAACTATTATATCCATGACTGTATTTTACAAGTCAGAAAAACAGGTTTTTAAAAAAAATTTTTAGAGCCCTGCCAGATATTTTTATGTGCCGATCGATGTTTCCCTGCCACCCTCGCACCAGGTTGTCCGTATAGCCAGCAAAGAGATTCTGCACTGAGGCGGCTCTGCCTTGCTGCTGGTACTGCTAACTTCTAGCTTGAACTCATCAGCAGTGATCTTGCCTTCCAAATCCCAGATCTTGATGCTGGGGCCAGTGGCAGCACAGAGTCAGTAGTGGTTAAGACGGAAGCACGGGGTGTTAATGATGTCCCCATCATCAAGTGTATAAAGGTGCTTGCCTTCGCTGAGGTTCCACAGCACGGCCTAGCCATCCTGGCCTCCAGAAGCACAGGGTGATCCATCTGGAGAGACAGTCAAGGTGCTCAGATACCCTGTGTGGTTGATGGGATTGGTCTTCAGCTTGCGGTTTGCCAGGTCCCATTGCTTGACCAGCTTGTCTCAGCCACAGGACATGATGATGGGATTGCTGCTGTTGAGTGCAAAGCAGACACAGACACCCACTCTGAGTGGCTCTCATCCTGGACAGTATATTTGCATACACCCAGAGTATTCCACAGCTTGATGGTTTTATCTCAGGAACCACAGACAATCTGTCCATTGTCAGAGGAGAAGGCCACACTCAGCACATCCTTGGTATAGCCTACAAATCAGCATATGGTGGTGTCCATTGTGAGATTCCAGAGGTGAACGGTTCCATCTCAGGAGCCAGAGAGGGCAAACTGGCCATCTTAGAAGATGACCATGTCACTAACAGTGGGAGTGACCCCGAAGAGCACGCAGTGGGATGCCTTATTTGGTCTCATCCCTCATCAGCTTCCACATAATGATGGTCTTGTCTCGAGAGGCGGACAGTATCATGTCCGGGAACTGGGGAGCAGTAGAAATCTGGGTCATCCAGCAACTGTGGCCCTTGAGGGTGCCACGAAGGGTCATCTGTTCAGTCGTGGCATGTGTGGGTGTTGCCACAGCGAGGAGGATGGATGTGGATACCTCAGACAGACAGCCACCATGATTAACTTAATTATAATGCATCCAAGAACACACCTCCAGAATGCTGGGTCTTGTGTGATGAATTAAAGATAGATTTCTAAAGTTGTTCTTATCATAACAAAATCTCTTGGGTTAAGCCATTTGAAATGGTATTAAATATTTTATGAACATTAGCTGAACTTCCATTTTGAATAAAAAGAGTAGAAAATATAATATAAAGGCATAATTCCCTGTACATAAAATAGCAATCTTCTGTTCAATGGTTAAATATTTAAAAACATTAAACACTGGCAACAACAGCTACTTAATTTAGTAGCCCAAACTTACTCTCTGTTTCCAGCCAGGTAGAAAATAAGTTTCTGCTTATGAGTTTAAAATCAGATTGATCTAAGGAATTTGCAGAAAGTAATGTAATAGTTTACCTTTATCAACCTGAGCACTTCTATAGGTAGTGGTAGAGTAATTTGAAAGGGGGGAATATTGTTAAACTGTAGATCATATGCAATATATCTATATCTACCTATATATATATACACACACATATATATGCATATTATCAATTTTAAAAATGCTTAACTTCTTGAAACATGCTTAAAGCAGACTTAAGTCAACTTATCTCTTCTTTGCATATATAATAATATATTTTTCCTTAGTATCTGAAAGCTTTTAAAGTAAATTCTTAAACAAAAAGAAAAAAGAAAAGCTCAAAGACAGACAACAGTATGGCGATTACCAGAGGGAAAGGGGGTGAGGGAGGTGGAAGAGGGTAAAGCAGGGATAAGTGGTGATGGAAGGAGACTTGACTTGGGGTGGTGAACACACAATACAATATACAGATGATGTATTATAGAATTATTGTACACACCTGAAACCTGTATAATTTTCTTAACCAATGTCACCCCCATAAATTCAATTTAAACAGTCAAAAATTATTAAATGCATTTTTATGGCTCTCATCATTGATTAAATGTCTTTCAGATTCAGCTATCAAAATAACTTCATGATCTAACATTTACCATTTAAAAATATTTATTAGGCACTCACTAAAATCTAGCACTGTGCTTAGCATAGAGATGAAATAAATGGTCATGAAAAACATATCAGTACGTTCATGGATTTAATGGTTTGGTGACTATGCCATAATCCAATATACACTAGTGTGTGTGGAGACGTGATGGTGGAACGAAGGCTGTGCGCTACTTAGAACCTAGTGGATAGAGACCAGGGATGCTGCTAAGCATCCTCCAATGTGCAAAAATGGCCACCCACAACAAAGACTTATCCAGCACAAAATGTCAATGATGTCCCAGTTGAGAAACTTTGTTATTGTATAAAATAAGCATTGATTAAACAATTCCTGTTGAAGGCATGGATAACATCCAAGATGAGCACTTTGCAAAATAGGAAACATGGTTTTTATGAGGCCTGATAGTGAAGAACTTTGCCCTAAACTGGAGTCAGTGTAGCCCTCCCTGTCTGACTAAATTATCTGAAGTTTACCTGAAGGATAAAGTGTTTTGTGCCTGCAGTGGTGGGCAGGAGGGTATCAGAGAAGGAGGGTTCCAGATGGAAAGGCTAAGGTTTGAAGGAAATAGTAACTGATAGTGGTGGGGCGTGGGGATACAAGTCGGGAAGGGGTAGGTAAGTGCACACGTGGTTGGGGGGATCCTTTGAGGAATGTAAAGTGCTGAAACATTTTAAATGAAGTGGGACTTCATTGGACCCACAGGTTTGAAAATGTCATTCTGGCTTCAGTACAGATGGGGGGAGATTGGAAGAGGACAGAGTTGATGAAAGGAAGAAAAGACGTTCCAGCAGGTGCTGTAAATTATCTGAATCAACAGTAAGAATGGCTGTGACAATATCCATGTTTGTTTAACTCACAAATGACAAAAGGTCTTTGAAACCATGACTCCTGAAGTAAGATGTGTGATTTTTACAGAGAGCTGAGGAAAGTCATGCATTTTCACTAATAGTATATGTAAGCAAATACTTATGCCTCTCTTTTTGAACATAGATGGAACTGGAGAGCATTATTCTAATTAAAATAAGCCAGGCAGTGAAAGACAGATACCATATGGTCTCACCTATAAGTGGAACCTAATCAACAAAACAAGGAAACAAGCAGAACCAAAGACATGGGAATAAAGAACAAACTGACAGTGACCAGAGGGGGCGGGGAATAATAGGGCATAGAAGGGGAAGGGTCAAGTCAGGGAACTTGTATAAAGGGCCAATGAACAAAGACAACGGGGAGGGGTAGGATTGAATGTGGGAGGCATGGGGTGGGTAGGTCAGAGGCGAGTAATGGGGGAAAATGGGGACAACTATAACTGAACAATAAAAAATCAGAAGAAAAATTACAAGTTTCAACAAAGTTTAATCTATGTAGTTTTCTGATTGAACTACTAACAGATTTCATTTATTTCTAATTTAGTTTCAGTAGTCAAAAATTCAAAGCCAGTTAAATAATTGGGCTACATTAAATCCATTTACTATCAGTGTTATCTTTATTGAATGAGACTAACTTTCTTTTAGTCTGCACAACTATTTTGAGATTCATCCTATGTTGTAGCTGACATAACAAGATCTTTTAGTAAGTCTTTTAGTAATGGCTTTATTTTTTTTACAAATAATTGATATGAGTGTAATATTCACAATATTATACAAATGTGAGAAGACTATAAGTGAATATTGATTTCATAATTGGTAAAATACATAAAACATTGATGAACCCAAGCAGAAGCTCATTTAGAAATTTTTATTAGCATTAGGTGTTACATTTACAGATGTCATAGAACCAAAGTTGTACACACACCATGAGACATTCATTGTGAATTCTGATGGATGTTAATATGAGAGAGAGAAAATAGCCACGTAAGTAGTAAATAAAAATTGTTTAATCATCTTCAGATGTATCATCAGGTACTTTTGAGAGGAGTTTCATGACTCGGTCTATAGGAGTCTTAACAGAATCATAACTCCATTTCTTCCTCAAAAACAACTTCTCAATCACACCTGGCATCCTGTAGCCCTTGCTTACAATGAAATCTTTGAAGGCAATTGGTCCATAAAGATCATCAAGAATGTCCGGTTCAAGATCCCTTGCATGACTCTGATATTTCTGTTCTTCTAAGAGTTTGGAGCCAACCCAGGGTTCATCATTTATTTGCTTTTCTGAGGTCTTGGGGTTCAGATACCAGTCTCCATACCTTAACTTCACCCAATTGGGTCTATAAGGAGCAGGTGGTTTCCTGAATTCTCTCTCCCAGTCACCTTCCTGGAGGGCAAATTCTCTTTTCTCAATGTCATCTAGCTCTTTGCTGAAGTATAGTTCCATAGGGATCTGGGTTACTTTCTTTATTTTGCCCATATTATCATTAGGCATGCACTTTTCATCAAATTCAGACCGTTCCATGATGAACTTTTCATCAAAGTCCATGTCTTCAAAAGTATCAGTCCATGTGCTGAATTCACTAGCTTCATCCCCAACACATCTGTAAGGATCAGGATTTTGGGGAATGCCCTTTCTGCTTGACTTCTTTTTTTTCTTTTCCTCAGGAAGCAACTTCATTAAATATGATAGGAAAGAGTCTTTAGGAGGCCCTTCGTTGACTTGGTCAGGAGCTCCTGGGGTGACTTGGCTGGTACGCCTTCGGGCAACTTGGCCAGGAAATACGTGGTTGAGTTGGTTGGGAGGTCCCTGGTTGACTCGGTCAGGAAGTTCCGGGGTGACTTGCTTGGGTGGTCCCCGGTTGACTTGCTTAGGAGGTCTCCGGTTGACTTGCTTAGGAGGTCTCCGGTTGACTTGCTTGGGAGGTCCCCGGTTGACTTGGCAGGTTGGTACTGGTTGACTCGGCTGGGAGTTCCTCTTTGACTTGGCCAGGAGGTCCCAGGATGACTTGACCAGTTGTTCCCAGGTTAACTTGGCTGGAAGGTCCCTGGTTGACTTGCTTGGGAGGTCTCTAGTTAACTTGGCCAGGTGGTCCCCAGTTGAGTTAGCCAGGAGGTGCCCAGTTGAATTGTTCAGGAGGTCCCCAGTTGAGTTGGCCAGGAGGTCTCCAGTTGAGTTGGCTGGGAAGTCCCAAGTTGACTTGCTTGGGAGGTCCCGGTTGACTTGGCTGGGAAGTCCCAGGTTGACTTGGTTGGGAGGTCCTGGTTGACTTGGCTGGGAGGTCCCAGGTTGACTTGGCTGGGAGGTCCCAGGTTGAATCGGCTGGGAAGTCCCAGGTTGACTTGGCTGGGAGGTCCCAGGTTGAATCGGCTGGGAAGTCCCAGGTTGACTTGGCTGGGAGGTCCCAGGTTGACTTGGCTGGGAGGTCCCAGGTTGACTTGGCTGGGAGATCCCAGGTTGACTTGGCTGGGAGGTCCCAGGTTGAATCGGCTGGGAGGTCCCAGGTTGACTTGGCTGGGAGGTCCCAGGTTGACTTGGCTGGGAGGTCCCAGGTTGACTTGGCTGGGAAGTCCCAGGTTGACTTGGCTGGGAGGTCCCAGGTTGACTTGTCCGGGAGGTCCCAGGTTGACTTGGTTCAGAAGGTTCCGGGTTGACTTCCTCAAGGTGTTTTTCACCAAGCTTTGTGGGGGACTTCTTTCTGTCCTTCATGTCCTCACAACAAACCCAGGTGTCCTCCAGCTTCTTGTCAGGACGAGTCTCTTCCAGCACCTTTAGTAAGAGGTCGGCAGATAGTATTTTCTTCAGATCCGGGTAACGAGTCAAGGGGTGTGGGGCCAGGCTGTCTTTGAGCTCCTCTACAAAAGCCTTCCGTGCTTTCTGGGCTGGTGAGAGCCTGGAAAGCAGTTCTGCTCCTTTGGGCAGGTTTTTCTGAGTCTTTCTGGGGGGAGGTTGGGGAACTCTATGAGCAGTCGTGGAGAGAAAGCCCTCCCTATGGCCACGAATGAACAGATTATTAGCAGGTGGGAGGCCCGTTCTGAAATCGTCCAGCCCCTCTCTCATAGATATCCACCACCGGCTGTCCATAGAGTACTTCAGAGGCCTGTGCCTGTGCTTTGCCAAAGAGTTGGGAGGTACCTTGTTTCTTGTCTTGTACCAGCGCTTACAGTGAGGGCCCACGGGTACGGGCTCCAGAGGCTGCATCCCGAACAGCCACTTCTCCTTGAGCTGAGGCTGAAACAGCCTCTTCTTGTCCGCCATAGTGCCGCTGGCCCCAAGGCGACCAGCGGCTTCGGCGCTTTGTTGTCTCAGCCACTCCGGTTGCTAGGTGACCGTTACCAGGTGCTGCCGGAATCTTTCTGGTAGCCGGGCAACGCAGGCTCACTGCGCATCCCGCATTCTCCCCAGGTGGGCCGGGAAGATGCGTTCTTTGTCGTGGCGGAGAACTGTTCCAGTGTACAGACACCCCACAGTATGTTTACCAACTCACCTTTTGATGAACTTTTGGGTAGTTTTCAGTGTGAGGCTGTTGCAAATCAAGCTGCCACAGGTATTTTACATATTCACATCTTTGTACACATACTTTCATTTCTATTGGGTGAATTTTAGATAGAAATTGAATGGTGGGAGCATCTGACATGTGTTTTTTTCCCATATGTACTCACAGCCATCAGGTTTTAAGATTTGCCCATATATGGGTGGGGTTTAAGGTGGCACCAAAAAAACTCAGCAGTCGAGATCAATTGTGTTTTACAAATGAGCAAAATAGAACCAGAGACATGGAAATAAAGAACAAACTGACAGGGACCAGAGGGGAGGAGGGGTGGGGATAACGGGGGAAAGATGAGGAAGGGGCAAGGAACAGGAATAGACTCACGGGCACACACAATGAGGGGGATTGAATGTGGGAGTGGGGGTGTCAGGGTAGGGGAGAGCAATGGGGAAAAAGGTGCAACAACTGTAGCTGAACAGCAGTAAAAAAATAAAAAAATAAAATAATTTTTTTTGTTCTACCAAAGTCATTGAAACACAAGATACATTGAATTAGCAAAGGAAAATAATACACACACACACACACACACACACGGGTGCGCGCACACACACGAGCACACACAAAACAGAATGATTCAAGATTTAAGCCAAGGAAAACCACTAAATGGTTAATGTTTAGGTAAAGTGGGGCTGTGACTTTACTTCCTGCAGAGTCTATCATGGCTGAGTAAGCCATTTCTGCCTTAGTGCAGAGGGAGCAGATTGAATAGTGAGCCTTCTCTGAACATTGTGTTCTGTTCATAGGTACAGTGAAATATTGGAATTGCTGGTAGAGTGAATGACTAGAAGCAAAGGTACTTCTTTTTGTTGGAGAAGCTATTATGTTTGTACCTTTCCCAATAAAGCGAGGGAATGACCAAATTCTGATTTAGGAACTGCTCTCTCTTCTCAAGTATTGGCGAGGGAAGTTGGAGATGGTAGTGACAACACAGAGGTAACATGAATTGTGGCTAAAATGTAGCTCCAAACTCAATTATTTTCTAAGCTTACAAAAAAGCGTTTTGAAAATCTCTGGCAAATGTTCAGTTTGTTATGCCTATTTTTGTTTCAAGTTGGTAGGAAGGAGAGTAGTTAAGTGATGTTGATTCATGTGGAAGGTTGAAGTATAACCTCTGTTTATGCGGTGACGTTAACATCATTTAGTTCGACTCAGAGACAAAGGTAAATTTTTCCACACTGGGCTTTGCAGATGGTGATTGGCCTCTGTCTAAACACCTCAGAGGAGCAGGATCTGGAGGATAAGAAGGCAGACTGTGCACTGTGGATGCCAATGCTCTCTGAAAGTGGAACCTCTCGTATGAACTGTAATCCCCTCCTACTGTTGACTTGTCCTCATGATTCTCTTTCTACAATCAGAAGCAACATATATCATCCCTTCCCATGTTTGAGATTTTTGTGTGTTCTAACAGCCACCCCTTTAAGTTCTCACATGGTAGGTTATTCTTCATTCTATCCATACATTCTAAATGGCAGCCAAAACAAAGTTACAGTTATTTTCTAGATATTGTCTGATTGGTTGTGGAAATGAGAAGAGTATAGTTTCTTGTGAATGAGACATTATGCTTCTTTTTTATTGTATTTTTCATTACCATTTAGCCTTGTTATACCTCCTCCCCCAACAATTACCACACTGTTGTCCATGTCCAGGAGTCCTTTTTACTCAATCCCTGTACCCCTAATCCCCTAATACCTGTCATTATATTTCTTATATTTAATTAGATGAATTATGACTTGACTAGTACTTGGGATCTATAATGGTTTTACTAATAAGGCTCAACATTAAACCAATTTTCCTTGTGATAGACTTACTGATCAGTTGATTAAGAAATGGTGTAGGTGCCCTGACTGGTGTATCTCAGTTGGTTGCATGTGGTCCCACAAACTGAAAGGTCCCCTCTTTGATTTTCATTCAGGGTACATGCCTGGGTTGCTGGCTGGTCCCTGGCTGGGGGCTTGTGAGAGGAAACCGATCCATGTTTCTCTCTGACATCACTGTTTCTCTCCCTGTCTTTCTCCCCCCTTTCCCCTCTGTCTAAAAATAAATGAATGAAATCTTTAAAAAAAATAAACACTGCTTTTAAAAAATGGTATAGCCATAACACTGGGTAAATCTAATTTCTACAATGTTTTGCCAAGGCTTTCCATATGATTTCCTGGTTAGAAGATATTATGATTCAGTGAGCTTACAACTCCCAGAATATTTGTACCAAAAGGGGACTCAGGGATGGTGAATTCAGTGTTGGGCATGTTGACCTGTAGATTTCCATGATCCTTCAAATAGAGACACCCTTTGTATATGTCACAGGCTCAGAAATAGGTGATGATTGTTGTTATGTTTTAGAAAGAATAAGCATAAGGCGATTGCTCCAGGCTTGGGTATGAGTAAAACAGCAGAAAAAAGGAGTATGCATATGTTGAATAAATATGAGATCTGAAGATGGAGTGCTTGGAATTTCTGATTTATAAGAAGCAAACAGAGTCAGCTAATGAAAAGGAGAAGATACATTCAGAGGGAGAGCGGGGGAAATCAGAAGAGGGGTGTCTCAGAATCTCTTATGGGAAGGTTTCAAGAAGCCAGGAGTGTGGAATAACAGATTTTTAACATATTGAGGACTAAGTGACAATTGAGAACGTGTGTACACTAAGTGAAATATACATTGCAATTCTCTATTTTGATGGGAGGACTTGTAGTTGCTGGAAAGTCTATAGTTTATGTCTCCAAGTTCTGGATGGAGATGAAATAACCAAGAGATCTAAAGATGAAAATAAGGAGAATGAACCATGAACAGTGATGCGATCAAGTTCTGACAGACATTTATATGAGGGTAAAAGAAGAAGACTGTTAATTAGACATTGAAAAATTTCACAATAGCAGAGCCACAACCCTATGAGGGGCCAGGTATAGGAGAGGCAGCTTCTACTGTTGAGGGATGCTTGGAAAAGTGGTGTCTTGCTGGGAAAACCAGTCAGTTAAAACAGTGAGGGAAAGAGCATTCTGAGAAATAAATTAGAGGATACTGGGATCATTATTTGCTGTGGAATAGGTATTTAAATCCTCTGAAGATAGGCAAATCTGATGAAAATTCGTGGTGACAATAACAAAGAGTAGGAAAGATACTGGAAAGGCTTAATATTCGTTGGTTATTTAAAAAATTACACAGTGTGAAGCCAGTGTGAATGGAGGATCTCAAGGCAACTTGATAAGCATGATTCTGTGCCCATGCATGCCATCAGCCAGTGACCTATGCTGTCCATAGTTCTGCGTGTGTTCAGACCATTAAATAGAGAACATTGATGAACATTTCTGACAAGGGTAGAAACAGTGACTAGGAGCAGAGAGACACTATCCTAATTATAATTCATTCAAAATAATGGCTTTTAATTACCCACCTCTGACTCATGGATTTCTACAGCTTAAGTTTATGAATCATTCTTCCACCCACCATTTCTTCAAACCATTGCTTCCTTTTGAAATCCCAGGTCTCCCCTTAGTTCAGGGTTTCTTCTCCGAGTTCACCGAGTCTGTGATGCAATTTATGGAGAGAATTGCCGTGATCCTTCCGTCATGCTCTGGTCTGCTGGCATTTGGCAAAATATCGGAAACCAAACATCGAATGCAGGGAGCAATTTAAAGATCTTTTAGAATTTAATGAGTTGACGTAGGCAACCACACAACGATTTAAAAATAATCTTAGTCCGGGAATGGAAATATCGTGATGTTCTTTCCATTTTGACTTTCTCCAGTGGGCTCTTCTCATGCTGGAGGGGCGAAGTAGCTCGGGAAGAAGTCCTTTCTCACATTGGCCTGATGTCACTACTGCAGACAAACTAATTTATTATTGATGACTTGTGATGCTTTTTTATTTGTCTGCGTTTCAGTGCTTCTGATAGGTTAGGTGAGGCCTATTGATTCATCCAGGTTTGGCTTTGACGGTAATTTACTGAGAGAGAGACTCAAAGAAAGCTTGCAGAAGAGATGGACATTTTTCAGATCTTACCCAAGTGGAATAAAAGAAACATAAAAGGTCTGTTTTCTCCTGTTCAGTTAATGATTCTGCTGGGATTTAACTCGTGGGTGGGTCAGGCTTGATGGGGAAAGGGTATTGTTAGACGTGGAGTGATCAGATCATTGACTATTGAGTGTTCATGGGAGGCTGGACTATGCATTTGAAAAAGCATATGAGTTCGAGTTGAAAGGCATGATTCAATTTAGTTTGTAAAAATCCATAAAATCTTCTCTTGGAGAGGCCTCAGTGTGTTATAGTGAGGCTTTGTTAAATAGATTAGATTTCAAAACATATCGGTGACTAATACTTCTGTGATGCCTAGCATCAGAAGCGTCTGAAAAGTAAAAGCAAATATCCTGTTTCATCTATGTCTTCTCATGTAAGTGTACAATTTGTCTTGATTGGATCTAAATTAGTGAGCAGAGAGAATACGTGCATCCACTTTCCCTGACCCTCTGGGGACAGCAAGTTGAATTCTCCTGTGTGTTCTGGCTTGCTTAGGTTTGTCTGTTTTTATCTCTGCTCTGCACAAAGATGACTGAGTTTCAGCTTCTCAATGGCAAACGGAAAAAACAATAGTCTCCCCTTTCTTAATATGTTTCTTCCAGAAAAGATGCAACTAAATAAGTTAGTTTTAAGTAGCAGATAAGAGGGTCCTGGACGCTGACCCTCAGTAAAATTGACCCTCAGTAAAGAGTGTTT